ATCCTACCCATACCCAAACCCACGGGTCTAGACCCACACCCATACCCGAATACTCTCTGATGACGTTTATAGAAAGGGTTTAAATCCAATTCTAAACAGAACTCAATTAAAGACTGGTTACACCACTAGCATCCAATTCATCGAGTATTTTAGATTTTATTAGTGTTTTTTGTTCTTGTTATTTTTTAGCATCTGACGCCAAAAAATGTCGTGCTTATGGACGAGGTATTCAACCAAAAGGTGTTCGTACAGGTGATGTTGCTGAATTTCGTGTTATTACAAAAGATGCTGGAGATGGTATTATGAAAGCAACAGTAACCGGACCAGGTAAAAAGTTTTACTTGTTTTTTTTATAGAATTTTATTCTTAAAAAATTTTTTTTCGTTTTATTCCAGATGGTTCGGAAATTCCTTGTCGTGTAACAAAAGCAAACAGTACAACATATGAATGTGGCTATGTACCCAATCGTATAGGAAATTATACAGTCAATATAACATATGGTGGTGCTCATATACCTAAAAGTCCATTTCCAGTTGATGTTGGGCCATATAAAGATTCTCGAATACGAGCATTTGGATCAGGTCTTGAAGGTGGTATAATTGGTTTTCCAGCGGATTTTGTTGTTGAAACAAATGGTGAAACTGGTTCATTAGGTAGGTTAAAAAAATATAGTTTTCCTTTTCATAATTAAATTTTATTATTCAATAATAATTAATTAGGTGATATAAGTAAGTATCTATTTGATGTGTACCCCTTTAGTAAAATGCATGGATTGGACTTTGGCTTTTATTTTGTTTTTCGTCTACATATATATAGTTGAAATTTCATTTTGTTTTTTTTTCTTGTTTTTTCTTAAAAGGCTTTTCAATCGAAGGACCATCACAAGCACGTATTGAATGTAATGATAATGGTGATGGTTCAGCTAATGTTCGTTATTGGCCAACAATACAAGGTGAATATGCTGTCCATATTCTTTGTAATGATGAAGATATACCACATTCACCATTTATGGCATGGATTGAAGCACCAGGAAATTTTGATTCGAATAAAGTAAAATAATAAATATTTGATTTTTAATAAGAATATTTATTTTTTTCCTTTTTTGTTGTTTAGGTTAAAGCTTATGGTCCAGGACTTGAACCATCAGGACAAATAATTGATAAACCAACAGAATTTACAATTGATACACATAATGCTGGTGAAGCACCATTACGTGTTCAAGCTATTGATCAAGATTATCAACCAGTTGATGTCCATGTACGAAATAATGGTAATGGTACATATACGTGTCGTTATACACCAAGAAATCCTAATCGTCATTGTATTTTAATTGATTATGGTGGTGTTGCTATACCACATAGTCCATTTCGAGTAATATTCTTTTTTTTTTTTTGTATAAAAAGAAACTAAATCAAAATAATAATAATAAAAATAAAATTTCAGGTTTGGCCAACAGAACCATCAAATCCATCTAAAGTTCGTGTTTATGGTCCTGGTGTTGAACGTGGTGTTAAAATGAATACGTCAACACATTTTACTGTTGATTGTAAAGAAGCAGGACCAGGTAAAAAAAAATCTTAATATATATGTTGTTTGTTATGATTGCTATCTCTTTTCACTTTATACTAACATTTAATTCACTTAAAATAATGCATGATTAATTAACTTTATTTGCATGTTAGTGATTTCTACTAATCTCAATCATCGTTTTCGTTCACTTGATTCGCTCGATATTGATAAATGTGACAATGATATCATACCATACAAAATTGATATTCAAGATTTAGATAATGAACAACATTGTTCATTTGCTATACAAAATGATGATAAAAATAATGCAATACACGTTACATATAGACCACAAGCACGCGTAACACTTGTGAATGTTGCTGTTGTTTGGTAGATGCTTTTTATGCCTTTTTTT